GAGAGGGTGGGGCGATGCTGAGGAGACCAGTCTACTGGGTACACTGCATCCCTGACCACACCTTAGTGAGCCTTCCATGCCTAGGGCAAACACCTCTGCAGGTGGGGAGCAGGAGTAACCACCTGAGTCAACCCATTCTGCAGGATCCCAGGATCGCGAAGTCACAAAGACAACAGGCACAGCAGCTGCCCCTCTGGAGTCAGCAGGGAGCAGACGCCCATCCACCCCACTCAGGCTTGGAGAGGCCTCAAGGCAGTGCTAGCAGTTGTCCTCTGTCATACACCTGTCCCTCCTCAACTTGAGCACTGAACACTTGAACACTGGCTCCTCCCCAATACTGCTCCTGCACAGATCCTGCTCTCTCCTCCCTGTGCAGAACTGCTAGGAGCCACCTTCTTTGCCTGAGTTGGACTCCTGGCAGCAAGTAAGCAGGCAGCTCTGACGTGAGGCAAAGAATATGGAAATTTCATTCAGAAGAAATGGGTTCAAATCCTGATCCTGCCACTAGCAGCTGGTTGTACTTTGACACACTGAGCTTTAGTTTTAGAGTACAGCAGACCTTTGACTTATGAACTCAATTCATTCTCCAGGGCTGGTTGTAACTCAAGTTGGTCAACTGAAGGCTCAGGCTCCTCTACACAGCCTTCACAGTCTCTCCTATACACAGACAGATCTCGGTGTCCTTAGAGAGACGTTGGCCCAGGATTTCTCATAAACCCCACACAAGAAAGGATGTTGTTATGTTCCTTCCAGAACTCTTAAAGGGTTAAATCTGTATTTGCGACCATCTGGAAGCACAAGCAGCCAGCATTCAGGTCATAGCTCAAGACTTTGGTGGTAAGCTAAAGCTAAAATTCTGGGTGTAACCCAAGTTGTTTGTATGTCAGGCTGGTCATAACTTAAGGGCCCACTGTATGTGCAATGGTGCCAGTACCACCCAGGGGTGCCAAGAGATGAAATGAGAGGTGCTATCTTCAAGGGTCTGGCGGGCCAAGTTCATGGCAAGGACTCAAACATTCCTTCATTCTCGGGCTGGGGTTTTTTCATTGCCCACTGCTTTCTCCCAGCTTTTCTTGCCATCATGTGCTTGGGAACAATGAGTGAACAACACGACATCAACTGTCCACCTCTGACTGTCGACTGCCTGCAACTAAGCAACAAATGCCACGTCCACAGCCACTTCTGGACACCTCTTTCCAGCCTGGTGGTTGTCAACCACAGCAAGGCATAACCAGATGAATAAAAAACTTCTGTTTGCAAGATCTGCATTGTTAAAAATAAGTCAGACCGATTTGGGAGTGTGCTAGCACCAGGTCATTTGCCTGCTTGCATTCTGATGGGATCTCTAGGGTAGGTGGGAAAGAGCTGGAGGGAAAGCCAGCAAGCTGAGAACAAGCTGTGTCATGGGCCTGAAGGAGACACCAAACCCAGGATGGAATGGGCACCATGTGTCTCTCTTCATCAAAGAACAACATCTCGGGAGAACTTAGTTCACGTGAGCCACTCCACACAGTCTAGGTTCCACCACTCCCCAGGCTAGCTCGGGACTTGTCCTCAGCTGGACTAGAATGATGCAGACCTTCTGAAACTAACATAAACGATGGTCCAACACAGGCAGGGTTCCTGGCTCTCTCACACATTCCCAAGAAATCATTAGCAACTGGTTACTGTGTTGTAACTCAAAATTCCAAACAGCCTCATGAAAAGCACCTTTCCCAGAAGGGACAGAACCCATCCCCTTCACTCCAGTCTGAATATGAAGACTAAGAAATATGAGAAAGTTGAAAAGAATCTACTCCACACCCCCTGAAGGGTGCCATACACACACACACACACACCGATCAGTTAGGCTGGAAGGTGCACCTTAGAATTATCTAGTACGTGCATTTTTAAATTCTATACTTAAGTTTAGCTGTTCTTTACACCCACCTCCCAGCAGCACACCTTTGAGGTTTGGGGACCCTCTCATCCATACCTGTTGTATAATTCAAAAATTCCACCAGGATGCAGCAGCAGAGACCCACGCGCCTGAAAGGAGTCTTAATTTCCTTTCCTACCCTAGTGAGCTGAGTTGACCAAACAGAAAGCATCAACCACCCCTTATTCTTTTAAAATGTTTTGCCTTTCAGGTGCTTTTTAAAAAAATCTTCAAATACAGATTTTAATAGAACTAAACTACTAAGCACCTTCTGCAGTCATTTGGATGATTTGCATATTCATTCAAGGCTGTTCATGCATGTGCGAAGCGGGGCTTCCTGTCTTCTCCCTGTTCCTGATCTGGTCTGAAGGATACTCTTCACAGAGCCCCCTGCTGTCCCCACTTCTCCAGGAAGACGCACTGCAGCAGTGAACGCTATTGATCCCAGGTGTCCTCTGCTCCTTCCCTAACTCCCTCTGGAACTCCTCTGGCTTTGCTTCAGATGCCATAATCAACAGTAAAACTGGTTTCCCTGGGTTGTGTTCGTGGGGTACAAGGAGATGCAGGGCAGAGGAAGGATCTCACTTGGCTTTTCCATGCACCGTGCAGGAAAGGACATTCAAACCAGAAACAGAAATACCATTTGTTGGACAAAATCTCATGAAAATCCAGGATCCACTAGGATCTTCTGAGTGTTTCTCTTCTGTCGTTTTCCTGTTAATAGCATATGGGGACTGTAGTGAGAGATTCATAATGAGTCCAATTAAGACAGGCTGAGCCACCACAAAAACAAAGATCAGTTCTGAGGCCTGCAAGGCATGAGTATAATCAGATTCAAGCGTTCCTCAAAATATAACAAAACAGAATGTAAGAATGTGCTAATCGGCTAGGGAAGGGGCTACCTGTCACCTGTTGGCCATTGGACCTTAGGAAAAAGATCCGGAGATAAGAACAGATTCTGGCCAAGGACTGTGGAGAGAGGAGAGCCTTAGCTTCAGGAATTCTGAGCAGAAAGAGTGACCCTGGGAGCCTGATGCTTGCATTCTCATGTTGTAGAGCTACCTCCTGGTAGCGGGTACAAGTGCTTGGCTGTTGTTGTTCTACCTGTAAATTAATAAACTGGCACTGAGTTTAGAATTTGTGTTTCCTCCCAACAGGAGATCACATTCTGCCTATTTCACCACAGTGGCCGGTGCCCTGTGCACTACATAAAGTTCACTGCCAACAGAATGGGCTGTAGGCCTCTAAGACTGCGGGGTGGGTTCTAATTCACAGGAAAAAAAATCCTTGACAGATATAGTTCTACAACCTGAGAGAGCGGGAAAGTAACTCATACGAACAGGGCTTTGATAACAAACACCGACAAGGAACGTAGCGCATCACCCCTAACCGAGGCCGCCCTGGAAGCCTGTCACTGGGTGAGTTTGGCATTGCAACATGAAAGTGGAAGTGTTCAGTGTACCAGAAGAAGGAGGGGGTGGATGTGGTCACGGGATGGCACCGTTAGGGACACAGAGCAAGTGACAAGTCCCTCACAGGCCCAACAGCTAACGCAGGAGCTCTCTGGAGGTGGACACAAAGATTCAACACACCCTTGAGCAAAGGGAGCTGGATGAGGCCAGGTGATGTCTGGATTTGACCGGCAGCTTATGGAGCATTTACTCCGTGTCAGGTACGCATCTGTTTTTCTACAGAAGTTTAACCTGGTGGACCAGTTGGGTTGTTAAGTAGAATTAAATCCGAGAGAGACAAGGAAGCAAAAACCAAACCAAACCAGGGCAGAACATGGATCTCAGCATCACTCATTTTACACAATGACAGTCTACTCAGTCACACCCAGTCTTGACCATCCAACAAGCCAAGGAATCAACGATTACCTGAAAGAATGCTGCGCAGTTCTCAGGAACACCGCATGCCAGTGGTTCTCAAAGCTGCCAGAATGTTTGCGAATTCCTCATGCCCCAGATGGGTTCATTTGATAGGGGAGGCCTAGGCATCAGGATTTTGAGTCCCTCACGGATTTTGATCAAGGTTCAGAAGCCAAGAAGGATGTGAAATGATTTCCACCTACGGCGTGGTTTCCCAAGCCATCTTAATAATGGGCATCACCTGGGGTGACTGACGATTACAGCCACTTTCCCTAAAATTTCTGAGTTAGTAAACCTGGAAAAGGTCAGGAATCTGAGCTGACAGCACCCCAGGTGGTGTATATAATCAAGGAGTTTCGGGAAACAGGGAGTGCTTCTAGCGAAGGGCGTGGGCACAAAATCAACAGGGAAGCTAGTTCATAACGACTCCATGAATATTTGCAATCACTGAGCCCGAATCTCTCCCTCTGGGGTTTTGCTCTGGTCAGAGCCTAGATAACAGGACAGGAGAAACCCCAGTTCTGGGACACTCCGTCCTTAGTGGGCCACAGGCCTGGAGGAGGGGCGGACTCCTTGTCACACGTGGCTTCCATCATCCTTCAGGGATCTTTTCTCTTCTTTTTGCACTATTATTTGAAGCGAACCACCAGACCAAGTATTTAGCAATGATGTAAGCTGGACTCACATCACTAAATAAGCACTGAGATATCAATTCACTTGAAAGTATGTTCAACCGCTTAAAAACAGGATGTGGCTTATTTTCCTATTTTAAATAAGTTTTATACTGTATTATTTTAACTGTCGCATGCCATTTAAAGAAAGGCAGAGGGCCAGAGATTTGGCTCAGTGGTTCCACAAAGACCCAAGTTCAATCCCCGGTACCAAAAAACAAAAGCAAAAACAATAAAAAAAAGCAGAAAGCTTCTGAGCTTTTTCTTTCAGTTTACTCTAAAAGTAGCCATAAAACCTTGTTGCCAAAACTGGACAAGCACAAGAAAAGCGCAAAGTGAACTCATTTGACTCTTCCCAAAGACTCTGAAGTAATAATCTATTAAAATCATTACCTGCTACAACACAGAGTTTACCCCAAGATACTACAATGATTCGACTGTAGAAAATGTTTACATGAATAACTACCTTCCAGGATACCACTTGTCAATGTTACTGTACATCTAACAGTGACCCTAGACTGTGAAAGACAAAAGACATCATACCTGGAGAATCCAAGGCAGTCTCCTTGCAGTCTATTTTTGTCTTGATCTTAAAGGACGATTGCAAGTTACAGTTTACAAATTGTTTAAGTTATTTTCCAATACTTTCCCCTGAAATTCCAACTCTTGTGGCAACTACCATTAAGTGTTTTCCCATGCTTGATTTCTGGGTGACCCCCCCAGTTATGTCTTTCAGGCTTTAAGTTTAAAGGCACACAGGAAAACATCCTGCAGACGTGCTCGTGAGGAATAAAGCACACATGCACCTGTGCTGAACTTGGCCCTGACTCAACACATCTGATGAGAAAACCTGTGACCTTTAGCACAGGAGAACCACTTGGGGGTTTTTTGAAGCTTCTCATGCCCAGGTCACACCTCCTGCACCAAATGGCTAGGGGGTTAACCTGCAAGAGATTGTTTGCAGCTCCCCGACAGGTACCACTATGAAGAGCCTGAGTTCCCCTCCATCCTTCCCCATGGCTCACTCACTCCCTTCATTTACTCTTAAGCAGCCTCTCCTCTCACTCAGAAGTACCTGGGTGCTTTTGAGAACCTTGTTTGCTTTGGGTTTTATTTCTTCCTGTTTGCATATTGCACTAGCATGTTGCATACTTAATGAGCATGTTTGATTTGGGAGGGAAGAGGTGTGAGTACCTTAATACTGTTTTATACAGCCAAACAATAATGCTGCTCTATAATAGTTATTTCCAGCACCTCCGTCACAGGAAGACACCGGAAAGGCACACACGTGTGTTGAGAGAGCTGAGGCCTCTTCAGGGCTGGAGATTCGTGCACAGAGGCAGGTGGCAAAGGCCAGAAGACAGCCTTGAGAAGACAGCAAAGGATCAGGACCCAGACCCTGGAAAAACCCAGGGGCGCAGCCAAAGACAGGGCACCAAAAGCCAGGGCCACCAGTAATTTCTACCTCAGTTTCCTGCCCCAGCACAGGAGACACTTGTAGCCGAAAGCTGAACAAACTGAAACCAAAAGCTCTGCTTAGTCACCAGGGAACAAGGACTCAAGGCAAACGCCAGGCCCAGGGGCTAGGGAGAACCACAACTTACCAGGGCAGAAAACTCCACGCACACCAGGGCCTGGTCAGAAACCCAAAGTGCAACTGAGGAACCGCTGGAGGTTCAGTGTAGACAAGTCCGAGGGCTAAAACCTCAAGGCACCAGTCACAGTGAAGCCACACTTTTATGACCTTTGCCTCTGGGAGGTTGACTGGGTCCCTGCAGTGAGTAACAGAGAGAAAGCCCTGCATGCTCCTGACAGCGGAGGGGGAAGGGAGCCATCTTGAAAAACCCTGCAGCCCTCAGCTGTCCTCAACAAGGCCGGATGGCAGGAGAAACCAATGAACCAGAGCCTGCGGGATGGGAAATAGCTCACTCCAGCCAGTCCTACCATTCCAGCCCACTCTCACCATCCTGTCCCACCGAAAGACATTTGTGGAGATCACAGTCCATTTAGCGGAGGCCCTCTAAAAAACTGGAGCCCAGTCACTGGAGGACCAAATGCCTCCCCTTGCCCAACATCTCCCCTTCACATCCCTAAAGGCCTGCTTACTACAGTTCCTTGTAGCTAGTACATCACATAAAAAAAAAAAAATCAAAAGGCAAACTAAAAAGTAAAAACACAGCTTGAAAAGAGAGAGTAAGCATCAGAACCAGACTGTGATATAGCAAATGTGTTGGAATGATTCTGTTACTCAGCTTCCCCACTGCCGTATACAATATGTGACACAATTTAAAGGAGGAGAGGTTTACTTTGGTTACGGTTTGAGGAGATTCAGTACATGGTCAGCAGGATTCAAGGCAGAAACCTCAGGGCAGAGCAAAGCTGCTCAGTTCATGGTGGCCAGGAAGCAGTGCGAGGGACCAGTGCCAGAGAAGAACAAGCGAGGGAGCATATATAGTGCCAAGGTCACGCCTCCTAAAGCCACCCAGACACACCCAGGAGTGTGCTTCAGTAATCTGTGCCTAACAGTCACAGACCCAACATGACAAAATGCCAGGTGCAAAAGATCTGTCAGTTGGTTCCTGAATAATAATTGACTCCAACTCGAATGAGCTAACAGTATTACATTTTCACTTTAGACAACAAAGTTTATAAAGACAGCTTTGTATCTGGGAGTCAAACAGCAAAGAACTGAGTTTCCCTCCTCCACTGAGTCCAAGTCTCTAGGGTGGGACTCAGGAACCTGCACTTCAAAGCACACAGGCATCCAGTGATCAGGCAAACAGATAAGAAAAACCGCTCTGTGCCGAAAGAAGCTCAGAACTCCAACTTGGAGACTTGCATCCTAACCCCAAACAGAAACGCAGGACCTAAAAAGTCATCTTGCTGTCTTCTACAATAAGCATGAAAAGCATAAAGACATCTTCGAAATAGTCCATACTTTCTGGTTTACATCTTACCAAAGCATTCTTCAATATCTAATATCTGTTGTGGTTTGAACGTCCCCCAAAAAAACTCATGTTGAAATTCAAAGCCCAATTTAATTGGAACAGTGTCAAAACGTGGGACCTCTGAGGCTGAGGGCAGAGCTCGGTGCTAGGGCACTTCACTAGTACGTGATCTCTGAAAAGAGGAAGAAGAAGAAAAGACAAAGAAAAAGAAGGAGGAAGGGCAGGGAAAGGAAGAAGAGGGTGAGGAAGAGGACAGAGAAGAGGAAGAGAACAGAAGACCGAGTAGGAAGAAGAGGAGAAGGAAGAGGAAGGAGGACCTTGAAGAGGTGATTAGGGTATAAGGACCTTGCCCTCACGAAAGAATTAGTGCCCTTACTGAAGGAGTTCTTGAGTTATGGCCAGAGTGGCTTTGTCACAAGTTTGGTTCCTGCCTGTCCTCTCTCTCTCTTCCATGTTGTGTCACAGCAGGAATGACCTCACTGCACGCTGGCATCTTGATCTTGCATTCCTCAGCCTCCAGAACTGTGAGCAAAATAGCCTTCTGATTATAAAATCATTAGACAACATACTCAGGTGGGATTTAAGTTTTGTTTTGGATTGATTTTTTTTTTCTTAGCCTACGAAATAGAGTAGTAAACTCACCAATAGAGTGGGTAGAAGCTAAAATGGCATGTATACAGAGAGGATGCACCTTCAAAAGACTCACTGACTTATTTTACTATGTAGACAATTCCTAGAAGCATCAAGTGTACATTAGGAACAAAGAAATAGTCTATAACCACATACCTTCTAATTAATGATTTTTAATAATCCACTTTCATTTCTCATTAGAGGTAGGCTGTAAAGACACTCGGAAAATCTGCAGATAAAATACATCAAATTTATTGTGACAGCCAGAATAGTGTCCTCTCCCTCTCTTCCTCCATAGACATGTCCTCATCCTAATTGCTGGGACCTGGGACTATGTCACCTCAGATGACAAAAGCGACTTTACACATGAGAGTCATAGACAGACCCAAAGATGCCACTCTGCTGGGTTCAAAGATGAGGGAAGGGGCCACAAGCCAAGGAGTACAGGTGAACTCTAGGAGGAGGAGCAGAGAGATGGAGCCCCCACACCTCCAGAAGGAACACAGCCCTGCCAGTACCATATCAGAAAATTCATGTGGAACCCTGGAACTACAAACTGGAAGGGAATACATTTGAGTCACCTCAAGCTATCGTTTGTGGGCACTTGTCACAGCTGCCTGTGAAACAGGCACCATCCACTAGCCTGTGCTGCAAAAGGGTCAGGCTGATGAGCTCATGGAGGAAGGGAAAAGCAGGGTTTTCCCTCGGCAGATGCTGCTCACATGGGAGAGCTAAAAGTCACTTAATGTGGCTTTTTAGGTGCTTACATGTCCATACATCAGCAGGTGGGGGGGGGGGCATGCGGCAAGTTAACCTAACTGGACCAAGCAAGGAGTGGCCATGTGGTGTTTTATGTGTTGGAGCTGGTGTCTTTTCCTAACCTGTCGTAGTGATAGTTGGTGACGCTATTAGGTCATTATATGATTACATTGTTCTTCCTACACTCCTGAGGCAAACCAGGCTTGGTGGTACATGCTTCTCGGGAGGCTGAGGCAGAAGGGTTGTCTGTAATAATACATATGAGCATAAAGGGGGGTAAAGGGATGTGCTGGGAGCTTAGCTCAATGTTACAGTGCTTGTCTAGCATGTAGGAGGCTCTGGGTCCCATTTGCAGCACCACAAGAAAGAAAGAAAACAGAAAAGATTTCAAGGCAGCAAGTAAGGAGGTGCAGGTTAGCCGCACTTCAGCCCACAAGCCGAGTTCCTTCGCATCCTTTCGCCAGCCAATCCTTAACCAAGCAGCCGGGAGAAACACAAATTAACACAGAATGTCGTGGCCCCCGAGTCCCAAAAATGCGCTGCGCTAGAGCAATGATTTTTTTCAAACTGACGCATAACACTGTTCATATTCAGAAAACACGGCGTGAAGGGGCATCCGCGGGCGCGAGTGATGACCACACCCTGCGTTTCTCTCTCCGCATTTGGTTTTGGGGGCCTCCCAGGGTAGCACATTGAAAGTGGACTGCAAGGAGGAAGTGGCGAGGGAAACGCCCGGGATGTGTCTCAAGTCCTCCACTACTGACCAAAGTGGGGGCCGCGGAACCTGCATGCAGTAAGCGCTGAAGAAGCAAATGTCTCTTAGATAAAGGCAGGCAGGGATGGAGCCCTGGAGCCCCCGGCTGCCGAGGTGAGATCTTCATGCACAGAGTCCGTCCTATAGGCTTCTACCTCACATCCCTTGAGCCTCATGCTGCAGCTGTCGCTGAAGCCCCTGCAGCTGCAGCAACGAGAACAAGGCAAGCACCAGAAGCCAAAGTCCAGCAGGACGCAGCAATGTCACCGCCACAAGGGCATCAGAACCAGCCTGTGGGGCCGGGGATTTAGCTCAGTGGTTCTGCGCCAAGGTCCGGAGTTCGATCCCCGGTATAAAAAACAAACAAAACAAAACAGAACAGAACCAGCCTGTGACATACACGCTGCTGTCCCCGGGCCATTGTGCTCTCTTGATTTCTTGCCATAGTCCTGCGTCTCAGCAGCAGAGAGAGGACAGAGACAGGACTGTGCCTGAGGCTTACTCTTAGGA